CCATTTCATCATTCAATCATTTGTTAGGCGCGCTTGCTAAGATTAAGCTTCACAATCAAGTGCTTTCGTTATACAGAAGGTTTGATTGGATTGGCATGATACCTGATCTTATGACTTTGAATATCTTGCTTAATTGCTGTTGTAAAACGGTAGAGTTTCTTATACTTTTTCAGTTTTGGGGGAAGATTTTGAGGGGCGGTTATAGCCCAGATGTGTTCACTTTCAATACTTTAATTAGGGGGTTGTGTAGGAACGACAAGATTGATAAAGCAACTAAGTTGTTTGGAAACATGACTGTCTTTGGCTGTTTACCTGATGTAATTACTTACGGTACCATTATTGATGGCCTCTGTAAGTGTGGTATGGTGGACGTGGCAAAAGAACTTTTCTTGGAAATGAAGAAGAAAGGAATTTCTCCGAGTGTGATTGCTTACAATTCCCTCCTTCATGGGTTGTGTTGTGTGAGGAATTTGGATGAGCTTGAAGGTTTGTTCATTGAGATGGTTGATGAAGGAGTGAGGCCTGATGTGGTAACATTCACGGTTTTAATAGCTGTGTTTTTGCAAACAACGGAGGATGCAGGAAGCAAGTGAATTTTTAGACTTGATGATTCGGAAGGGTGAATTTCCAGACACTGTTACTTATACCACATTGATCAGTGCACTTTGTCAACAAGGGACCATGGATGAAGCAGATAAATTACTAGACTTAATGATTCAAAGAGGTGCGTGCCCTGATGTTGTAACTTATACTACATTGATTGATGCATTTTGCAAAGAAGGGAGGATGAAAGAATCAACCAGATTGTTAGGCTTGATGATTCGGAGTGGTCATCATCCTGATATAATTACTATAATGCATTAATTAATACCCATTGCAAAGAAGGTAGGATGTTAGAAGCAAATAAACTGCTAGTTCTCCTGACTCAGGGAGGTCAGTGTCCTGACGTGGTAACTTATAACACATTGATTAATGCACCTTGTAAAAATGGTAGGATGGAAGAGGCAAATAGGTTGTTAGAGTTGATGATTCGAGGAGGTCAACATCCTAACACTGTTACTTAGACTGTATTCATTGATGCACTTCGCAAAGATGGGAAGACAAAAGAAGCAAATTTATTGTTATACTTGAGGATTCAAAGAGGTCAGCATCCCAACACAGTCACTTATACTACATTGATTGATGCACTTTGCAAAGAAGGGAGGATTGAAGAAGCTAACGCATAATTAGGCTCGATGATTAATAGAGGACAACATCCTGATATCATTTCTTGTATCACATTGCTGGATGCCCTTCGCAAAAAAGGGAAGATAGAAGAAGAGAATAGATTGTTAGAGTTGGTGATTTGCAGATGTTAATATCATAGCATGGTTATTAGAACATGCTGATTCATGGACTGTGTACCAAAGGACATCTAAAGAAGGCAAATTATTTTTAATAGAAATGGAGAAGAAAGGTTGTGCTCCAGATGCCTTTTTGTTGAATAGATGTTTATTTTTTCACCCAAAATAGTGGGACCTCAAAAGTCTTGAAACTTATTTTGAAAAAAATAGATGAGAAAATTTGTCAACTGATATAACCACCCTTTCGATTGTCTCAGATTGAGTTCAAAACTGAAAGAATGAAACACGTCAAGAACTTCTCAACTTCCTTCTAAAATTTCCTGTCAGAGAGCCGTCAGGTAGGTGACACATTGAAAGTTGGATAGCCACTTTGAATTTTGGTTGTGCGTAAGCATTCACAGCTCAATTGATGCTACCACCATTGTACGTCCTGCACAATGAACAACGTTGCTTTTGAATTTGGTTGCCATTTTTTTTCTTTTTAGTCAAAGTTAGGAGGATTTTATGTATTGTCCTTTCAAAATACATTCTAATATGAACTGCTCAACATACCAAATATAACATTTATTTCACATTTCAAGTTTATTGTTTCAATTTATTCTCTTCTGAAATAAGCACACTTAAAATTTTAAACACAAAGATATATGTGTTTTATTATTGTTATTTTTGAATCAGAAATAGCTCAGGTTCATTAAGTTTCCTGAGCTTGAAAGTCACTAGAAAAATACTGACCATGAGAACTTGTAAGTTCCGAGAGGAAGCTGCTGCAATGGGATGAGATGTATTTGAAGCACTTTCAGAAATTTATTGTGTCAATAAGTTGATTTTATAGTAGATATCTGATTCTTATTGCATACTAACTCATGGTTCAGGTAAATCCTAGCAAGTCTTGTAATTAAAATCAGCTCAGAATGCTTCTACCTGTGAACAATGGCTCGAAAGGAACAAAAAGCTTGCAAATTGCAATATTTCTATCTCATTAGCAGGTGTGTTGAGAGAAGCTATTATTCTGCTATAAGAAGTAAAATTTCTATCTTTCTTGGGTTTATAATATTCAATAGATTGATTTGTTCTTGTTTGAGTATTCTAAAGTATGATAGGCTGCGTTTCTGTTTTCTTTAGCTCTCTGGAGTCGTATTTGTAGTATTACTAGTTATTATGTATGAATAAAAGAAACTTGTTTCACTAAATATAGAATAGAAATAGGGTGAACCATTAGAAGATTTTCTCTTTTCATGGGGACATGACAAGCTAGTTGACTTTACTTAGCTATTGTAAGGTTTGAGTTTAATTATGAATTCAAATTGTTAACGATTTAAATAGTTTAATAGTCATCTCCTTCTACTAGAAATAAGAGATTCTGAATTTAAATTACATGGCATGCGAGTAAGATGAAGAATACTATGCATATGTCTCACTGAAATTGTAGAGGGGCATTTCCCCAAAAAGCAGGCCAAGGTCCTCATGGATAGAGATAATTTTGGTAGAATATTTTCTATGGTACTGGTATTGGACTCCTGCGCTTCTAGATTCCTAGATCCCATTGGCAGATAAATAATAAATTGAAATAGTTTTGTGGTAATTTTTTTTAAAACTTTTAGAGATATTATTGATAAGTATCAATATTTATAAATTTGTTATTGTGAGAAAACAAGGTAGGAGAGAAAAATATGAAGAAAAATGATACTTTTTCTTGATTCATTTG